GCTTCCCAGAGAGGTGGCCAATAACCCATACCTGTCAGTGTTGGAGAAGTCAATGCCATTAATGACTTTAATTTTTGCACAGTCCTGAAGTATAGTTGGCATGGATGGTCATTTCAGCCCCAGCTGAAATGTTCTATATTTAAAATGCTTATCATTATGCATCAAAGGGAATTTTAAAGAAACAAAAATCTAAAAGCACTGGGGGAACATGCTTAAAACCACAATAATTTTAGTGTAGGAAAGCAAACGCATAACTGCTTAGTTTTGTCAGATGTTTTTAAAGGGCACCAAAAACATTCAGAAACAGGGAGTTTAATATGATAAGCAGTGGCTGAGCATTTTAACACTTTTCAAACTAAAATTATAGACATGCATAAATGTATATGCTCACATGCACATCCTCTATTCCCAGCGTCAGTCTTGCTTGCCCTCAGGAAAGATAAAATCACCCAAGGTACTAGAATCAATCCTACATAATGACTGTTTTTCTTCAGAGGGTTGTTATTTACTTTGGAGTGTAAGAAAAGAAATCCTATTTAAAAGCTACTATTTATGGGCTCTTGTTTGTTAGTTAGTGATTAATTTTGGAGCCAAATATAAACCTAAGGATGCTTTGCTGACTAGGAATCAGCACAGAAACAGGGCTTCAGGCATACCAGCTGCTGACCAGTTACTGTTGTGGGAAAAAAGCATTTTGCATCTAATTGTGTAAAAAAACCCAAAAAACCCAAAAACAAAACAAACAGAAAAAACCACCTATAGGTAGAAGTTTTCGAGTGGTGTAATAGGGAAAATCAGCATAAACTCAAATCTCAGACTGAAACAGCTCATTGAGGACATTGGACTGTTCTGCACAAATCAGTTTATTCCATTGATTCTATTGTGCTAATTAAAGGGAGAAAGTGTTCTGAAGCTGTAGGACATTTAACATAGGTTCTACATTTCAACTTTTAAAACAATTCCTTGGAATTTATTCTTGAACAAGCAGATTCAAAGATGTTTGGATTAAATATAATCTAAAGAAAACATGCTCAGTGTATTTTATGCTTGATCTTCCAGGAGTACAGTACCATCCCTCTGCATTAGTGTGCCCTGCTATAATCCAAGATTACACATAGATTATGTGCAGCATGCTTTTAATATCTAGAAAATTTAAAATAGCAGCAACTCTGGACTCAGTAAATTCCAGAATTCTGTACCATATAAAATCATAAGTAAAATATAAACAAACATAATTGACATAAAACTAGTCATAATATTGTGACTATTCATTATATAGTAGCTATTAATGATGATTCATGGAATCGATAGTTTGTGCCAATTTACAGAACAGTGATCAAGCCAGGTGAGCAATCAGAATTACCGGATTAACAATCCGGAATTGTTAAAGTCCTCCTAACTAGATTTTTTTTCTCCGTTTCCCTGCATCTTTTCTCTCTCTTTCTCCTCTTTTAATCACCTCTTTCTCCTCTTTTAATCTCCTCTTTTAATATTTTCCTTCTCCTTGCCTTTCCTATATTTAAAAATATTTTCATTTTTTTCTAATATCTTTGTTAAAACGTCAAAATAGTGCTTTGCTTTGTGACACTCTGGAGAACTCCTTCTCATGTCCCTATTTCACACATAGTGGTACTTCCCAAGAGAGGGAAGGGGTAGGTGAAGGAACACAGGGGTAAAAAGCCAGGGGGGTTTTTGCAGTTCTACAGACTTATGCCTACCCCTCTTCTTTCTTTTCTTCCCTTCCTTCTCCCCAACCTCCCTCTCTCCCTCCCCGTCAGCACTTAAAAAATCATTCCCATTCATGTTGTGTGAGCGCACACGCTGGGAGAAATTACAGGGGCTCTGCTCCAGATCGCCTTGACAACTTCAAGGCATCCCTGTGCGTGGGGACTGGTGGCACGGCAAATTTTCCCAGGCCCCCTGGGGAAGGGGAGGGGAGAGGAAGAGAGGAGGCAGAGGTGCTGGAGCCAGTAGCGTGGAGGAGAGAGCAGCGAGCAGGATGAAAGGGGCACATACATCTCCCGCGGGACAATGGGGGTTTTGCTGGCTGACTGTGAAAAGACACGCTGAGGATACAATGCTTTGTGACACATGAAAGCTTTGGGGACCTTTCCAGAGCCCCATTCAGTTCTAAGGAGTCTTGTCAACATCTTAAAATGCAAAGGAAACAAACCCCTCTCATTTTCTGCTGTTTTAAAAACGGATTTTAAATATTATTTTAGACAATTGTTGTTGGTGGTATGCTGGAAACTTTTGCAGTTTGCTGAGTTCCCATTAATTGCAGTGGGAGGGGAGACTGCCCAGCAGGTCCCTAGCAAGGGCTCTAGAGGTGAGTGCTTGTTTCCCCCTCATACAGCTTATTTTCATACTCAGGCCTGTCATCCCTCTGCTTTGAATGCTTTCTGCTACACATGCCACAGGCAGTTACAGCTCAAGAAGAGAGGAATTGCTGTTCCCTATGTCCAAGCTGAGAAATAAATTATATGATAGCAAGAGCAGGAATGAGACTAAGCAACCTGAAATAGGAAGCCATGTATTCCCAGCCAGAGGGCACCCTGGGAAGCCAGGCTGGAAATCAGTTTACAAAGATAAGGGCATGACTCTTGCTCCCTGACTTACTGCTTTCACATGGCTCACCACTCAATCCCAGAATCAGCCCAAGGAAAAATTAGGATCAAAATATATAATCCTTCAAACCAGCAATCTTTTCTGGTAAGGTATGCCCTACACTTACTTCTAGTGACTTTTGGAGTGTAGGAGGCTCAACCTACTATAAGGGGTGAAGTACAAAAAAAATCATGCTTGGTTAAAGCACAGGCAGGTGTGCCTGCAAATCCTCTAAGAGTGACAGTGCTCAGCCTCTGGTACTGAGTTTATTATCTGTAAAGGGCAGAATACTGGGAACTGACTGATTCAAAATCTCTGCATTTCCAAACATTCCTACTAAACTGTACAGGTCAACTGTTTGTGCTCAGGTTATAAAGCAAGTTTGGAAATGGTCTTATCCAAAATGAAAAATGTATAGACCATTGTTGCTACTTTAGAAAGAAAAAGTAAGAACAGAAAAAAACCTGATTACATTTGCAAAAATTAAATTGACTGGACTAGTATGTAAACATTCATTTTTCACTTTGTAAGTTATAAGTTTCATATTAATATTTTAAAAATAAAATTTGTAAAAAATGCTGTCTGAGATATGTGCTGTGCAGTTCGATAGCAGATCTAAATTCTTCAAAAATTATTAACTTTATTTCTTTTATTGGCTAACAGCATTTGCATTGTTTCATATTTACATTACTTGAGGACTCTAAAAAAACCCTAATCTTCCATCCACAAATAAGAGGGTTACAGGACTTCCCGTCTGTAAAATTTAAAAAGCTATCTGTAACTTGCTGGTGTTTACCATTTTCCTCACAGCATTTCAAATCATAAATTTAAACATATGATGAGTATAATTATCCAGTTTTGCAGATTGAAAAAGTGAGTAGAGAAATGAAGGATCAAGTGCTTCAGATGTTGGATTTCCATGCTCAGTTTCTTGCTGTCCACTTTGTTCTTCCACTACAATGGCACACACATAAACCAGAGAATTCAGTGTGTATATCTAGTGATGTCTGTTTGCAACCCCTCTTGTGGGTACAAATCTTACTGACTCTAATGGTCTCTGCCAAAAGGGCAGAAAATGAAAAAAGCTGAACCGAAAAAGTAAGTATGAAGCATGTGATTGTTTTTATACTTTGGAGATTTGATCAGAGCCTGGGACCCATCCCTGATCTCAGCCACATCAGGGACTAGAGTGCTTTCACTGTAGCTCCAAGAGAATGTATCTCCTCCTTGAGAAGACAGACAGAAGTATTATATATCTACAATAATTTTAAAAACTTTTCATTTTGCCAGGCCATGATTTGAGTTTCCATATTATTTATATTCCTGCAGTCCTCTTACCTTATTTTAAATGCTTTCTCCTCTGAGACAGACACCCAAAGTAGAAGTTGGTAAACTTTTTTTATATTCTATATGTTCAAAGTTAGCATCCATATAAATGTGTGGGCAGTTTTGGAAGTATGGATTAGGCAATTCCATATAGGAGGAGGTAATAAAGCTAAAAGATCCTTTTCTGACCCCTTTTTTCATTCTGCACTTAGAAAGCTTGATTGCAACAAGAAGCATGAGCACTGCTTTGAGGCAGATTGCCCAGCCCTCCTGATGGAGTATGGGCAAATATCGAGGAGAAGGAGCAGTGGGAACATTTTAAGGAGAAGAACTATCAGACTTAGCTGCCTCTGCTGGAAAGAGAGCATATCTATTTCTGACAGCCCTCATGAGACATTCCTCAGACACTCAGAGCTCTTTCCCTGAATTTCACCTTCTATTAGAAAACTCACTGCAGCCATTCATCAGTTCAATCTGATGAGCAAACACTATAGAAGATGCCCTAGGGAACATCCTAATATTCACAGTAGATCCAAATAGAGCCAAGAATTAGGATTAATGTTGCAAGTTCTGCAAAGTTCATGAAAGACTATAAAGGCTTATTCATGCAATGATAAGGATTTTTTGAAACAGGCTAACAGCATTTAATCTGTTTTAAACTCCCATGGCTTGGGACAGAGGTAATCTGATGTTGCCCATTGGAGATTAAAGAAAACTCTTCATACATGTTAATTGTCACAAACATTATCAATATTACTAAAGAGTACTCACTTTTCTATCTTATAAATTATGTGCAGCACGTTTTTCAGACTATGGTAACTGCATTAATCAGAAGCCATTAATTGTCTCACTGGAATATAGGGAGTGCCACACTGCATCAGACCAATAGTCTTTATTTTGAGATTGTGACAGTGGCAGTATGAGCTGCAAATGTGGGACATCTTGCCTTGGGTAGCTTTAAGTGTGGCCATCAAAACTCTTCCCACAGAACTATTTTCAGCATGCTTAGTTCATACTCTTGACTCACAACTGTATCAGGTGAATGTTGTTGTGCTTAAATTCACTAGGAATTGCTGCCCTGGATAGTAAAGCCTCAGGGAAGATGGGAGTCCGAGCAGTAGTCTACTACATGAGCACTACAATCATTGCTGTACTGATTGGCATAATCATTGTGGTCATCATCCACCCTGGGAAAGGTACGAAGGAAAACATGCACAGAGAAGGAAAAATTGTGCAAGTGACAGCAGCAGATGCCTTTCTTGATTTAATCAGGTATGGCTATGATATTGCACCTTTTCTGTACCAATAGCTATGACAGTAATGTTAGATTCACAGAGAACAAAAGTAGAGAATTTTAAGCAGTAATTGCATAGAGTTGCCAAATTCCTTTCAAATGTGTGATATCAATATCTCTAACCCGTACAACACTAAAAAGGGATACATGGATTTAATTCCAAATCAAGCTGTTGCAGGGGAAGAAATTGCTTTTAATACTAAAAGGAAGATTTTCTTTCTTTCTTTCTTTCTCTCCTTCTTTCTCTCTTTCTCTTTCTTTCTCTCTTTCTTTCTCTCTTTCTCTCTTTCTCTCTTTCTTTCTCTCTTTCTTTCTTTCTTTCTTTCTTTCTCTCTTCTTTCTCTCTTTCTTTCTTGTCCTCTCTCTCAAAAGAAAGACCTTTGTTCTGCTATCTGCATGGGTATTTTTCCCTCCTTCCATAGCACAGACCTTATTACTAAAGTCCTCCCCTTTTCTTCCAACTTGCAACAGTTTTCTCACTTCACTAGAACCCCTGATTTACGTATTTATTTTAATTTTGAACCAATGCACCAATCTGGGTGCATCTACTCAATTTTTTTCAGTTTATATGAATGGGAAATAACTTCCAGGAACAGGCAAATAAAATGATTGAGATAGAGGGCACAGACGTAAAATCTTGTGTTTTTCTAGCTCAGAGAATCTGCAGTACCTCTTTTACAGAGCTAATATGTCACAGATATATTCCAGGGAGTAGGGAAGCTGAGGTTTTGAACTCAGGAGCTTTTCCACAGGTAAAACCACCAAAATTTTGTGTTCCACTAACCCATTTGGAGAATCCGGAGACATGGAGAAAGGCCTCCAAGGATCACGCTGCCAGAAAGGGGGACTACAGAAACCTCCATGAAGAGGTTTGCACTCAGATTCCTCAAGATTTATTCAGTTAAGCTGCTTCTAAATCTCTCAGAAATGCACAAAACAAAGAAAAACAAACAAACAAACCATTATCTGCAACAAATGTACATACATGTGTATGTATTATTACTGTAGAATACTCAAACTTCAGAAAGATTTGGGGTGTAACCACAACAAGACTAAATCAAGTTATACATATCATTAAGTACTAGGCTACATAAATGCAAAAATTCTTTGAGAATTTGAAATACATTAAATATTATTACATTATTTATTAATCTGTATTCATAACGCATTAATAAGTACAAAATTAGAAGTGAGCCCATAGAGCTTTGTACATTTAGTAATTTAGCTAATATACTTCTCCATAACCAGACCTGCTATGCAATACTGAATACAGAGATTCTAATTGCAGGAAGTATCCAATCCTACATTTCATCCTGGTAAAGCTAACCAGGCCAGTGTTACATGCAAAGCTCTACTCACTGTATATTATGTATAATCACATATTATTCTTAGGATTCCTCAAAAATTAGCTGCCCAATTCTTTTATTAGCCATGTCCTTACTAAAGGAATTATTAGCATATTATTCTCATGTTATTTTCTTTCTCTTTCACAGAAATATGTTCCCTCCAAATCTGGTGGAAGCTTGCTTTAAACAGGTAAATTTTTTTAAAAATTCCAAATAAAACATGAAGAAGTAAGAAATTAAATGTAACCACATTTGCCTTAAGAATATCATGTTCTTGTACTTACAGCAGAAACATAACTTACATTTGCTGCCAGATGTCAAAAAAAAAAAAAAAAAACAACCCTGAACTAAACCAACCAAATTTATGCTTTGTTTTCAATCATATTGAGACAACAGTGTTTGCTATGAGAAATAAAGAAAATCCACACAGTCTGGCAAATCAAAAAATTACTTTTTTCAAAAGGTCAAATTCAAAAGTTGACAGCAGGGCTCATCAGAGTGAATTCAGGATCTGCTTTTCTAAAACAGTGTTGTGTTAAACTGGGAGATACTGAGATATTCACCATCTGTGCAAAGACTGGGAGATTTTCAAGGATGACAAATCTGCATAGGTTGGAAACAGAAGAAAAAAATTTATGGACATTAACAAAAAAAGCAAATTAAGATCTTCCTGTCACCTACAGTAGAAGTCCTTAGGAGTGCTTTTTTTACGTTGCTTCTCAAAATCCCCTATCGTTAGCTCGGTCTCAATCTCAGCTGTACTGTGGAGAAAATAATAGTTCCATTGTTTTTTTACAAAGGAGGACATTAATGATTCAGTGAAACCTAGAATGTATCTTTCCATAATCTAATTGCTTCATATTGACCTCACAGATAATATTGAACTGATATTATTTACCAGTTGCTGTTGTAGCAATAAAAAAAGCTGAAATGTGGAGGTCAAGAAGAGCATAAACTTTCCGAAATCCAGCTGACTTACATCTTGCAGAAGAATTGAAAAGAAATTGTAGCATTATCTTTAGCTGTATAAACAGAAACCAATAAAAAGGAGTCACTTTCTGCATTAAAGATTTCTAGATTAAAGATTAAAAAGCAAACTAGACCCAGGTCCAAATGCCATGCCTCTGTCTTCAGCAAGGATGTTAATGAACTCAGTACAGAGATGCAGAAGAGCATTATAGAAATGCAAAAGTCTATATCTAAACTAGAAATAAATTCAAAGAATGTAATGTAATAAAGTACAGGAATGATATGATCTTTATCTCAAAATAATGAAATAATTAGGGCATAAAGTTACAAATGTAGCAGCAAGTATTTTTCATAAATCTCTCAAGTTTGGATGTTATTATCTAGAGCTCTTGAAAGCAATCAAAGTTTCTTCCAGATTGCAGTTTAAAAAAGATTTGGGAAACTATTTAAGCAGTTTACAGACCTTTAGTTTGATCTCAATTATAATGAAGGATATAAATGCCTTAAAGGGAAAAGTAGAGACTTCATAATAAACAAAAAATAAAAATGCATAAAACAAACCTACTACCAAAACCACAAAGGTTTCTGAAACATAAATTGTACCATCTTTCGTCCATAATATTGCTCATTTCCTCTATCTTTTTTTTTTTTTTTTTAATTTGTTGTTGTTGTAATTATTTATTTTCTTTGGGGTTTTTTATTTTGGTTTTTTTAGGAGAATTTTTTGACTTTGGAGAAAAAGCAGAGATTTTAAGATGACAAAACTGAAATAGTTGAGTAGGGGACTGTAAGAATTTTAAAATTTGTGGAGATAATAATGGAAGTTGCTAAAGGATTGGGAGTACCTCAGTTGATATTTTTATGAATGACATTGCCACAAGACATTGCCACAGTTAAGTTTACAGACAACAAGAAAGTCCTAGCACTTTGTGTTGAGATATCAAAAAAAAAAAAAAAAAAAGCCAAAGAAGGTGATAGACCCTGGCACAACACAATACTGTGAAGTCACAGCAACAAAACTACTCAGCTCTTGCACATGTTGGCACGTTTGGTTACCTCCTAGTAGCACTTCAACACATGTGAAGTAAACATTTAGAAGTTAAGAGTAATTTCTGCTTTGACATAGCAAATTATCATCAAGAAGACCAAAAATGTTCAATTCAGCTCTAGGATATACCTTAAGCAACAGAACACCAAAACATGAACTAAGGCCAGAGGAATGTGACCATTTAAAAAACTGAGCATATTCAGTTTTCTTCATTCATAGATTAGTGCAAAATGAACATAGTCAAGAGAGGATTTGTTGGAATTATCAAAAGAACACAACATATAAAGCAAAAAAAATACTGAGAAAAAATTCAAGTACAAAAAAACCCCAAAATGTCGTAACAGAGCTAAATAAGATAAAAACATACAAAAAGAAATGAAAATCACTACTGCTGAATTTGAACTGTAAATTAGTGATGCTTTTAACCCTACAGAACTTAAAGTTGAATTCCTGAAAACGTCTTCATTTAGGAGTTACAGGAACACTTCAACAGCTTTCCAATACAGTTTAAAAATTCTTTTGATAGTATTCTACTGTAACAGAAAACTTGGTTTGGTAACTAGCAGTTCTAAACCTATGCTCTTAATTAAAGATGTCCTGTAGATTATGTTAACATTTAAGTATCTTGTATTTTTCAAGTGCTTTAAAGCTTAAAGGGAGTTTCTAAAAACAATCTAGAAAAACAGGAAATATTCAGTGAAAGTTTTTAATGACTTTCAGCAGCAACTGAAAGTACCAGGATTTACTGAAGTACCAGAATTTTAAATTTGTCATACCATTACTTTTTGAACTTGGTACCAAACCCTAGATTTTTGCATAGAAGTTATTTTGTTGTAGCAGATTCGTTAAAAAAAGATCTTAGCTTATAAGTATGTGTAATATTCTTAGGTATCCAGATTATTTTGTATATCTGACCCCACAATTTTCTTTCCAAAAGTTTCCATCCATTATTTTGTATGTTTCTCAGAAGATTTATGAAGAGGAATGGGCCATCTGGCACAAATCTGTTTGTGTAACACCGTGTTTGATGGTCAGAGCACAGTACTTCTCATAGCTGTCCATGCTCAATGGTGTAACACCATCCCACAGCTTCACACACCTGGAAGTCATCACTGGAATACGCACTGCACATTTAAATCTCATCTTTGGATAGATCAGATGTGCACATTAAGTCTTACAGCATCCTTAGGCAGGTTTCTTTCCTAGTTTGTACTGGAAGCCACTGGAAGGTGTGAGATGAAATGGAGAGCATAACCAAAGTGGGAGTGGAGTTAGCAATGCTTTTATATGGTTGCTGCTGGGAGACAAAGTCCTGGAGGGAGACTTAGGACTTATCTAGAAGTGTCTTCCTAAATTTTCTACTGTTGCTCTTTCAGTCGCTTGGTCCTTTGGATTCCCTTTCCTGTTTCTTCCCAACAAGTCTGTGAGGCAAAGCTGCCTCTCCTTTCTTTTAATTCTCCTCATCCCCCTTCTTTGCACCTTTTCTTTCCCAGGTATTTCCATTTTCCACTTGACTGACATGAATTTTCAAATATGAGTGGTTTTGTTCCCTCAAGATCCTGGGATGCATTTTTTTATGTCCCATATACATCCATTCGGTTTCATTAGGTGACTCCAAACCTTTGCTTAAAGTGGGAAGGACTTGGCTCCTCCAAATTCCACCTGGAGATCAGGGACTTGAGAGACATGGGGAGATATGCCAGACAATGAAGACTGAGACAAAGAACTCATTGGTACCTCAGCCTTCTCTGGTTGATTGTTAAATAGCAGATTATTAATCGAAATAACATGTTTTCTGATGATGGATGTTTCCATATGACTTGTCTTGACATTCACTATGCACAGTTCACATGAGGCTTTTGTGATTTTTATGAGCAACAAGAGAATCTGAATAGACTGCAGGTGAATATTTCACACTTAACCTAAAATTAGATTACTTTGTTCAAATTTTTCTCCATGCCCCTGCATTCACCCCAGTTTAGGGAGAGCTAAAGAAATCTTTGTGTTTATCTTACAGCTCTGGCCACTATCTATCTCCATTTCTCTTTCTTTGCTAAATTAAAAAATGCTGTCTAGCCTGGGGCTGAGCAATAGTGAGCAGTCTGCTTGTTAAGCAGATACTACTTCTTAGCTGCTTGTTCTTCGTGCTGTGCTCTGGAGGTCTATCAAAGGGCAGAAGAAACACAAGCAAACTTGCAAAATCAGGAGAAACAGAATCAATCTAAAAATTTGGCGAGGGTCATTCTGGTGTGAATAGGTAGAATTTTATGCCAGCTAAAGCCTAAAGAACTGCATCTGATAGCTGCATTTCTTCTGAGATATTTTTAATTACATATTCTTTCCTGAATGTGTCATTATCAAGGGAATTGTAAGTGTTAATCACACATCCAGAAATGAATACTAACTAATATATGGTGTCTATTCCTCATGATAATTTGGGATAGTTAAGATATATTATGACTTGTGTCATCAGCTCTTACACTGAAAATTTAGAATGCGTTCACACATATCCATATGGAGAGCAAAGGAAAAAAAAACAATAAAGAAGATGGAATATCACTATCTTGTTTTAATTTTTTAGGGTTGCATTTAAGCAAACTGGTTACTTTTAAAATCATTATTCACCAAATGCTGCATCATCATACAGACTTAGTGCAGACAGTAGAAATGACAGAGTAAACTATGACAGTGAATTATGAACTTTCAGAACAGCTACCATTGCAATGACCTTTTCTGCAAGTGAAATCAATGGGATATGCTGCTGCCAGGTTATAATATTGCTTCTTCAAAAGTCCTTCAATATATCCAAGCCAAATGATGGGGTATCTTGTATCACTAATAAAACCAAAATAATAATCAAAGAGTAAACAACTGGTTCATTGCATTATTCAATACAAAATCTACATTGTCTATTTCATAGTAAGCTAAGTTAATTAAAATTAATTTTCCAGTTGATCATTACCACGTCCTGTAAAAAAAAGTCCAGAAATGTATTATTTTTGCATTTTACTTGCAGGTATGATTGTTCATAGAAGGCTGTTCAAATTAATACATTCAAATAGCATTTATCTTGCTCCTCAGTTGTTCTCTGTACATGAACTTAAGGAAAAATTATGAGTATTATGCATCTAAAATCTTACCAGGCCAAAATATCACTTCCTGGAGGCCTAATGAAATTATATTCTTCCAAAATTATAGGACTTCAGTAGTATTGCCTAGCCCATCCCATATTATCAGTGCATGGACCTCTGTTCTCTCTTCTGAGACCCTTAACCCTACAAGGAGTGGTTTATTTTGCCTAATTTCTTCTATTTCTGAAAGTTGCAAAGGAACAAGAATCAGCAGAATAACTATGTGTAATTAAGCTGTCAATTTCAGCTACATTAAAAGTTGATAAATCTGACTGCCACTGAGATAGAGATCTGCTGAAAATAAGAATATCATAAAAGTTCAAAAAATTAATTCTTACCACCAGTTACTCTGCAGAGCAGCAATAGTCAACCCTGCTATTAACTCATGTATTTCAAGGCCATTTCTAACATTTTGAAGGTGGTCCTTCATCCAGTCACTTCCTATAATCAGTTGCCTTTTCCACCCTTTCACACACAGAAAATATGTTTTATGGTGGTCAAGCAATCTCGTGTTTTGCCTTTCATGTTATTTGAAAAAGCAACAGTAAGGACAAAACTCAACCAACACCTCACAATTTTTTCCTCAGTGGATACATCCCTTGTGTTCCCTGTGTCTGGTTTGCCTTGATTTCTTTTGCTTCACCAGGAAACTTCTCGTGGCTTTTGATAGACAACTTTGCATAAGACAGATTCACAGCAGGCCTATCCACAGTGGTCACCTGGTGCTCAATCAGCTATAATGCAAGAAAGAGCAGCTCAAGTAAATATTCCAGTGGAAATAAAGTTGCTCTGGTTTCTGTTGCTTAGATTAATACTTTAAATCTCACTCTAAATAAGATGTTTCTCCCCTCTGGAAGGGGTTCTATTCTCTGTAGTAATATTTCTGAATACTTAAGTCTGAGGAATAAAGTGAGAGAACAGAAAAGAGAGAACAGAAAAACATCTCTGTGTGCCACTCTAGTAGCTGAAATAGAAAAGGACTTTGCTGAGTGAGTTCTTAAAATCCATGTTATACCCCAAAAGAGACTTAAATCATGAATTAAAGGCATATTTCTGCTGCAACAGAATTGCAGAATGAGCACAAAATGAAGGCATACTGTTATTACCACCTAAAATTATTTCTAACACAGGTTTTTGAAGGTAAAATCTTTGTGTTATTACACTTTTTCCCATATAGCTCCCAACACCTTCTCAGTCCCCCACCACAATTTTGTAGCCGCATGGGCAACTCTGACCTAATCTGACACGAGGGGGGCAATTTTAGACAAATAAAGGTCATGGTGCCTCTGGTGGAAAAGTGGTTTATGACTTAACCCATGGCCTGTTCCAACAGGCAGGGAGCACACATCCAGCTCTGTCCTACAGATGTATCACACTTTTGACCTAGTCAGGCAGGAATGAGGGAAGAACCTGAGCATAATGGAGGAGATTCAGAACCAAGTAAGTTATGGTGTGCTAGGGAAAGTGGGAAATGAAAAGGAAATTTCACAGGAAATTAGGCTTTAATTCCAGACCTTATTGTTCCAGAACTCATAAAACAGCTTGCTTCTCTACTTTAATCTAATCTGTGCGCCTGCAAATACAACATAGTTACAGACATTTGCATTAAGGAATTTGCAGCTAAGGTTTTTTCCCTATTGAAAAAAAGCAAATGAAAAAAAAAAATAGAAATATAAATATAAAAATAGAAATGTGACACAATTACCACACCTGGAAACAAGGAAGGAGAATGTGATAGGAAAGAGAAAGGGAAAGGAAAAGGGAAAGGAAAAGGAAAAGGAAAAGGAAAAGGGAAAAAAAAGAAAAAGGAAAAAGAAAAAAGAAAAAATAAAGACAAAACCAAAAACAAACAAAAACCCAAAAAAAACCAAAACCAAAACAAAAAAACCCACAGTGTTTGATGCAAAGTGTTAGGCAGTATTTTGACTTTCCTGACAAGACAGAATAAAAAAACTTTATTTATTGAGCACTTATATTACTTTTCCATTTACACTTTAATACCTCTATGTTACTTAAAGAGACACCCCCATCGCTTCTTCCCTGGTTGTGTAGTTCCAGTCTCTGTGTTCTTCTCTCTCTGACATTTCAACAGCCAGTTGAGCTGATTCGCTTCCCCAGGCTTTACCCAAAAAATGGTGACCTTTCTTGCTTGGTGAGATTTCTGCCACTTTAAAAAGTAGAATTGTCTCACTAACAGATCAAACAAGAATTGGATGTGAGTGGGTGAGGCAGCAGAACTGGGCTTTTCCACATCAGCCAGCTGCTTATGCAGCTCTCAGCTGACTTCTGTACAGCCCAAATCTTGAAAGATTTTAGCATATTTTATTCAAAACTCAAGAGTATCTGACCTTCATGAATCTTGGTTCTGCTACATATTATTCAGAAACCTTCCACAGATGTCCAGTTACCAGGTCTAATTTGAGATTCTGTGAGACTTAAGCCTTTAGAGGGGTACCTCAAATATGTGGAAGGAGTGCACAAAACTATTCAGGTGCAGAAAGTAACATTAAATCAGGCTAGTGTTAAGAGATGATGATACTCAGATATCCCATCTTGGTCATAATTGCTTCATTTCACTCAAGTACTTCTGAAGTGTTCAACAGGTCTCCAGATGTCAGTAAGGATACTTGGAGCTTTCCTGGTAGCTCAAAAAAAAAAAAAAAATCCAAAGTTTTTGAATAACATTGACACCAACAGAGCTGCAGGGCTTTTTGAGCCCAGATAGAAATATTCAGGCTGTAAATTTCTGTTTGAAAAAACATTAGGGGGTGAAAGACTGGTTTTCAAAGCAGACATTTAGAACCATATTGAGATTTAGAAATTGAATTGTCTGTCCCATAAAAGAACCATTTAAAGTATAACCCTTTCTCTAATTAAGAAATGTAGTGGCTTATACTGCAAAGTAAACTAATGGCTTTGCCATAACAAAAGAAAAAAGAGGTATGTTATATTTAAGTTAGCTTCAGTCTTATTTTTTTTTAATGCAAAAATATGAAGAAATAAAGGAAGTCCAGAGCACAAGAAAATATTCTCACTAGCCAAAAAAGGACTAAAAGAACTATTTTGAATTTTGTTGTTAGGAAAAATAGCAATTTATATAAAATGCAAATTAAGAGTCAATAGTTTTGTTACAGAATATAGGAGCATGACAAATTTGCATCTTTGACTTCAGTCTATTTATGAGAAAATTTATCTAAAAAAATCTATTTATTATTTCCAGAAGCTAAAGCTGAAGATTTAGTTTTTGAAGTTAATAAGATTTTTGTTATTTTCAGGAAAACCAAGTATTCATCATAGTACATTTTATCTAGATAAATAATAATTTAATTTGTGACTTTAACCTTTGTTTGATATGATTCCCTGAATATCTTTCTTTTATTTTTGTTTTAACAGTTCAAAACCAACTATGAAAAGAGAAAGTTTAAAGTAGCTATTCCATCCAATGACACATCCACAGTGACTTCCATAATAAGCAACGTGTCAGAAGCAATGGAAGCTCTCACCCGAATGAAAGAGGAAATCGTTCCTGTTCCAGGTTCCGTGAATGGAGTGAATGCCCTTGGCTTGGTGGTGTTCTCAATAAGTTTTGGCCTGGTGATTGGGAGCATGAGGGAGCAAGGTCAGGCATTGAAAGACTTCTTTGATAGCCTTAATGAGGCTATCATGAGATTGGTAGCTCTAATCATGTGGTAAGTGCCTCTTCGATAAATTCCTTTTTAAGCTACTAACAATATTTTTTTATCACAGTCAGACACTGGGTAGCAAGAATCTATTTGGCAGAAAGTCAGACAGTAAGATTGTATCTACCTTGGAACTTTTTTCATGAGTGAACCCAAGAGCTGTGACTCTCGGTGACCATAATCTGCCCAACTCTTTCAGGGGGTTTCACTTTTGACATGAGAAAATTCAGGGTCTATGGCAGAAGTTGCTACCCTTATCAGACCTATTCTATGTCTTCATAAAGACAGCAGTCACAGCAGTAAGCTGTTGAAGTATCCTTACATCTTTATCTGAATTCATTAAAGGAAACCGACAAGCCTCTCCCATAATCTTATTTCTACACAGCAAGACCTTGTTATCATAATTTTCCAACACAACTGGTTCCTGTAGTTGTGGGGTTTACACATACGTCCTTGCTCACACATACACATAATTTTCCTGCTTTCTTTATTTTGTTTATTAGGTAAATAAAATAAATACCTTTTCTCTCAAGGAATGAAATCTTCTCAAAAATTAAGATTCATTATTCTCCAGGAAGAAGGTTAATTATGAAAAGAAATTATATCTTGTTGGTTTCTTTACTACAGGTAAAAACAAAATCAGCTCCAAGAGTCTATTAAGGAGCACACATACATACTGCCATACTAGACATGAAACCAAAAATAAGTATATTTGCTCCATTAACTAAAATCTTTTCTCCTTCACAAGCACATTTAAAATGTTAAAGCAGTGGCTTCAGATAAATTGCCACATGGACTTGATGATGCAAACAGCAGTTAAAATATAGTGGATAGATTCTGTTCTGTGTTATCTTACTGTGAGAAGACAAGTGGACATTTATAGGAGTAGGGCTGTACCAAAATTACTGCTGCAGCAGAATGACATTCGAGTTTTTTGCTCAGCACCAGCTTTCTTCCCCTCTAGCTGTGCTTCCTGATAGGCAAAAGCAGTTCATCCCACCCATGCAGCCAGCCATTGTCACACAAATTTCTTCGTGATGATGAACATATCATCCAGTGCCCCACTGGATGAAATGTAACGTAGCCAGAATTGATGCCTGGAAAATAGACAGACCTTCCCAAAAATATTAGAGTGAATATAAATACAAATCTTTGGTTTAAACCTTTCAGGTTTAAACTAAATATGTCAAGTCACACGTGGTATATTAATTCTACAATTTTTATGTGGTTAGTCTGTTACTATACTTATCATACACTGTCCAATTAAAAGGTTAGCTGGTTAGGTAATTACTCCTGGGGTCTTGCCCCACTGGAAACAGTCTACAGGTTTCTTTTGCCCCACTTTTGATATGTCTGGTCCAGATTCTGGTTGGAAAACAGAACACCCTTGTACTCCTCTTGGAATAAAACTAAACAATATTTAGGAATGCATTTATAAGGTTAGCTTATTGTTCCTAAATGTAGGGAAGAAAGATAGGAAAAATATTAGAAGCTATGGCCAAAGCTACAAAGATGCAATTATGTGAAAAATATAAATAGCTAATAGCATCAGAAGCAACTTGAAATCTTAATGAAGTTATCAGACTTCTGTGTGAGTTCCTTCCCCAAGGAAACTTCCTTGCCATGTAGGAAACAGCACTAGAATAGAACTGGGTGCATGGTACAGTACATATACATATCAGTTTAGCTTTCATTCACACAGGCAGAATTATAACAGGATTGGCCAAAATAGCTTTTATATTACACTTGGATTCAAAGGAAAATTCAATTCCCCACCTGTCCAAAAGGCATCTTGAAATCCTCCCCAGATGCTGAATCCACTGAATCCCACCAAAAACACTGCTGTGGTTCAATCCAGGTTGAATTGTTAAGAGCTGAAGAGTTTTTAACTGCTCCTGAATAAGAGCATCCTAACAGTGAAATTCTGCATTTATGTGTATAAACACAAACAGGATGGATGTGGGACCAAATCTCTAATTTGTTTTGTAATGCTGTTTTGATTTCTTATTTGCAGGTATGCTCCACTTGGAATTCTCTTCTTGATTGCTGGGAAAATTGTTGAGATGGAAGATATGGGTGTGATTGGTGGTCAGCTTGCCATGTACACTGTAACAGTTATCATTGGTTTGCTAATTCATGCTGTCATTGTCCTACCTCTTCTCTACTTTGTGATCACTCGTAAGAATCCGTGGGTATTTATCGGAGGCTTAATCCAGGCATTAGTCACAGCTTTGGGAACGTCTTCCAGGTATAACAAAATATTTGAAAGCCGTATCTTTTTTTAGTATTATTGGTTTAAGAAACAATTTTGCTTAATGTTAAGTGTTTGATATTCTAAGTAGTTTGTAATGGCTTGATAATTAAGGATAGAGCTGGCAAAGAATATGCATGGCAAAATGGAGCAGCAAACAGAAAAGTCCCCTGGGGATTCCTATTGGCAGCTGACATTTGTGCCCAAAATCCTGATAGCCAATCATGGATACAGAGCCTACAACCAAACTGCCACTTTTGCTCTTGCAGGTGGTCAGAGTTATGTCATGTGAATTTAAAAAACTGTTTGCATATATGACAGAAACATTACAATAAAGTTTCTCTACCATTTGACCTTTCATAAAACAGCAGCCATTTTAGTAGATTTTTAAAATGTGTCCTAGAAACAGGGGTTTCAGTCAGATATTCTGTGATGCTAAATTCGAATCCTTGGTGTTTGAGATTATTTTGAAGTTAAAACCTAGGCTGATGCAAGACAGCGTATTGTACTGCAAGTGGATTTAAAAACCATTTAAAATTCAACTGTAAGATGACTGTCAGCAAAAATAATTTTCTAACACAGACTTCCATAACCCCTCTTTATTTTTGGTCAGTATTTTATCAATACTGGTAGAGTTTTCAAAGACTAGAAAGTCTGCTATGTATTTAGCAATGAAGGTTTCACTGGGATCAAGTAACCTGAATTGCTGAGTCTTGGAAAACCTCTTTACTGTGGTGAGATCAGATATAGAGATTCAGGCCTGGCTCAGACAGAATTAACTTTCTTCATGGCTGCTCATATAGTGCCATGTTTTATATTTGTAGCCAAAACAACAATAAATCACATGCTGACATTTTTAGCTGTTGCTAAGTATTTGCACAGCATCAAGACCTTCTCTGACTCTCATTCTGCCCCCACAAGTGAGTTGAGGGGTTCACAGTGGATTGGGAGGGCACATGGCCAGACAGATGAACCAAAGTGAATAAATAGATATTCCATGCCACACACATCATGCTCAGCAATGAATGGGGAAAAAAGATTTTAAAAAGGCTGGCCACATATTACTCCAGAACTTGCTGGCCACTAGTCCATCTGTGGGAGTGGTGTCTAAGTATCACTTGTATTGTTTTCTTCTGCTCTTCTTTCAAGCTTCTCCCACACGTACTAAACATTTTTATTCTCAACCCCTCCATTTTCTTGTTCTTACTGTTCCTTTTGGTTTTGCCTGTCCCATCAAGGTGTGGAGGCAAATGAGTGGCTGAGTGATGCTTAGCTGCCTACTAGCCCACAGGTGGCAAAATAATACAACCATCAACCAAAATGTCCTTTGCAGGAGAGCCTACAAACAAGAAGAAAAAACAAGCTTGTTACTGAAGGTTTGAATAGTCCAACTGGTATACTTTCCAGAAAACAATGCTTAGGGATGATTCAATCACATCTCCATGACTTAAAACTGAGAAGCAGGAATTTTAAATAGATTCCTGTGCCTGACAGAAGAACCTTGTGACAAAACACTAAACTTGAATACTTTCAGATTAGGGATTATATAGAGGATGGCACTAATTAACATTTGGAAAAAGTTTCCAAGAGCTTTAGGAGAACCTTCACCATTAGAAATGCTTAAATTCAGTATTTGCATAAAATAAAAACTCTATCCTGGTAGATCATATAAAAACTAAGACAGAACTGTCTCGTGATTATAATGTGACGTTCTTCTCTTTCCCTCTTTGCAGCATTTATATCATATATTGTCTTTTTTCTTTCTGTTTCAGTTCTGCAACCCTACCTGTTACATTTAAGTGTCTAGAAGAAATAAATGGAGTGGACAAACGAGTCACAAGATTTGTACTCCCAGTTGGTGCTACAATTAATATGGATGGAACTGCTTTATATGAGGCTTTGGCTGCAATTTTCATTGCACAGGTCAACAACTTTGATCTGAACTTTGGACAGATTATCACAATCAGGTATGTAAACCACTGTCATCTACATTTAATAAAAGGACCTTTGTGATGACCCTGGTTTAAGTGGGATTAAACAAAAGTGTCTAGAACTAAAAACAAGAACTGCTACAGTATCATATTATCTGTAATTTACATCTTCTTCTCACAGAAGAACCCCCAGCACATATTCTCATTTAGATAAACTTTTAGCAAAACTGTAACGTGACAACCCGTTGCTATAATAAAGACAAGTAGAAAATTTAATTGTTTTCAAATTTTTCTTTCTTAAGAACTCATGTAGTTGTTGGGACCTACAGACTTATAATGAGTACCAGGTAGTTTATAATGCATGTAGAAAGCTGAAGCATAAAGTCGTCACAATGTTATTGCTAGAAGAGGAAGTGTTTTCCTGGTTTCAGAAGACTATCAGGGCTAGCTGCGTAAGGAACAGAAATACAATTTATTACATCAGATGGAAATGGTGAACACAGGTTATGTTTTCAAGCACCCAACCCTTCTTGTTTGAAATATAACAGCAAACAACTCACTACTAGCATCAATGATGACTGATCTGCTTTACTTTCATTTTGTTTATCACAATTTAAGGAAAAAGGGTGGTGGGTACTTGTGCAGAAGAAAGGAGTGTCAGCAAGGGGACAAGTGGGCATTGTGGGACAAAGACACGTATCTATCACATAGGAACACTGAAAGTTCAGACATAACGCTCCATAAAACCCACCCGTTTATTTCAATATTCATTAACCTAAGACAAAACTCTGCCTTCACCCTCCAAGGCAATTATTTCACATTCATTAATACTTGAGCTGCTCCCTGGAAAACCACCTGAGAAAATAAATTGTCCCTAAACCAGATGTGAACAAGCATATTTCTATGAAGTCACTGGACTGTATGACTCAGGGTTTCTGGCAGCTTTCTGTTTTCTGACGCAAGAACACCAACTGCTGGAGGAGAGAGACTTCACCTGGCGTGAGGTTATAGTGAGATGGACAGAGAGCAAAAGTTCTTGTGTTAGACCTGCCAGGACAGAGCTACCTCCTCAGCTTTTCTTTTAACATGTTTGAGCTTGTGGAGAGAGTTTTTTCTATGGGTGGGGACATGTAACTATAATGTTTTTTTCTGGCCCTTGGCATCTCGTTGGGAATTCATCACTAACAAAATTATGTTTCAAGGTTTCTGGATAGAGGTTTAGTGAAACACTTTGGATCAAGGGTCATAGTCCCCTGCAGCTACAGGGTATTCAGTTAAGGGGCTAGGCTCATCTTTTTATTTACTACTAGGTAAATGCCTTTTTGCTTTATATCTGGTTTTAAAGTTTGACAGATGATAAGGAGAGCTTTTATTACAGTTTAATTACAGAAATCAGTTAATTGTTCTTGCCATCTCTTTGCACAGCATCACTGCTACAGCTGCCAGTATTGGGGCTGCAGGCATTCCTCAAGCTGGACTGGTCACCATGGTCATTGTTCTCACATCAGTAGGTTTGCCTACAGATGATATCACTCTTATCATCGCAGTGGACTGGTTCTTGTAAGTATTTTTATGGAGTTGTTAAAGGCTTAGACCATATTTAGAACTGAAATAGCCAGACACATTGTGGCTATACTACACTGTTTTGCTCTGGAAGTCAGTTGAAAACAAGTGTTAAAAAGAATACCTGTTTCTTGCTAGTAAGGTATTTTCCTAGAGCAGATGGTCAGGGGTGTTGCTTAATTATGGTTCCTTTTGCATGCAAATTTTACATAAAAACCTGTATTGTTCAGATATTAAAAAAACTTTCAGATACACTGTAATTAAATAAGCAAAGAATTGCTTTATTCTTTTATTTTTTGTAGGATGACAATGAAAATGTTTCAGTCAATCAGACACAAAAGTGGATCAGATCCAACCAATTCATTGCAGCCTTGCTGACTATCTGATCTAGGAAAGGTTCATCTGTCTACCCCGTGAAAGCAGAAATTAAAAATAATTGTGCAACTGACAGCACAAAGTATTGCCCCTCAGTTTTTCCATTCATCTATCTGTAGAAAATAACAGGCATCCTTAAATATATATACCTAGGTCCAGGAAATAAATGAAAGGAAGAGTTTTTCCAACCTCTGTTTCATCTAAAACCTATTATTTAGCCTTTCTTGAGGCTTTTACCCTTCAGTCTTCTCAAGTGATCCCTGAAAGAAGTTGCCTGTGTTGTTATCAGAACATAATGTCTTCAAATGATTATCCAGCCACCTGATGTAGGTGGGTGATTACCTACACTGGCACTGCCAGTCACTCCTTGTCAAGCTGCCTTCTGCACTGCTGGGCAGAGCCCTCCAAGCGGGATGAATTTTTGTAGTTTAATTTGAGTCATTCCTGCACAATTCCACCCTAAATTACACATCGTATCTTATGGTCAGGAGACAAACAAACCTAACAAGGTATATTGTTGCTGGCTTACACGTTTAGAGGATATAAACCCAAACTCTTGATACCCAAGAGTATCAAAAGGCCTCCAAGAGGCCATATGCTCCCTTTGCCATCCTCATCACATGACCATTTCTTGGTGTGAACTTCCTAAGAGTATTAGCACACTTTGTGACTCCACGTCCGCTGTATTTGTTAATGTCTGTAGAAGAAATCATGGCATTAACTGTTCAGACAAGCCAATGAATATAAAGCACGTGACTCATCTGGTGGCTATTTGAGGGCCATTTTAGCACCTAGTCTGCTTGCTTCCCTGAGCAAGGGATGGAAGTCACTCACTACTTTTTCCCTAGGGATCGTCTTCGTACCACTACCAATGTCTTGGGAGACTCCATTGGAGCAGGAATTGTTGAACATTTATCACGGCATGAGCTGAAGAACAGGGATGCTGAGATGGGTAATTCCGTGATAGAGGAGAATGAAATGAAGAAACCATACCAACTGATCTCACAAGAAAATGAGAATGAGAAACCAATAGATAGTGAAACCAAGATGTAGGCTAGAGAAAGCGTGAGTTCAGCACTACAAGTGTGGGAAAACACACACTTTTTCCGGCGATTTATATCTTGAATTCACCAACTTCATCTATTCCTTGATTTTTCCCTTTATGCTCGCACTGGAAAGAATTAATGAAAATATATTCCAAACTAGCAGCGATCATGGTATATGTTGGCTTCCCACTTAAAAAAAAATTAACAGGCAACAACACTGGTCCTGCTAGACATATGCTAACTGGGGATAAAAAAAGAGATTGTGTATATGTTACTCAGTCCTGTGAATCTTTTTTTTTCTTTTTTTTTTTTTTTTTTATGAACTGGAAAGTAAAAACAGATAACAGAGCCTGAAAATGGTTTTATTTTTTTAAATACCTGTTGCAAAATTCCTAACATCTATAAACACACAATCAACACTTCTAACTTGATAACAGCATCCAGCTAAGTAAATTAACAGGACTTTTGCTATTTTATCTGATTTTTTTTTCTCTAGTGTTATATTATTGTTCAAATAGTAGCAGGAAAATAAAAAGCAGGAGATTATTTGAGGGGATAAAAAGGGGGAAGATATATAAATAAAGAAAAGAAAATACCCCCAAATCAGCACTTTTACCAGCTGAGATGAAATATTTCTGAGAAAGTTATTTTATCTAGACAGTTTTTTGAATTAGATTCAGCTGATCTTTATAAAAATTTAGCCTAGTTGGCTCCCACTGACTTGCAAACATTTACATATACATGTATGTACTTCCAATCTGGATTTGCTCCCTAAATTTCAACATCACAACCCAGTTAAACAATCTGTGTGTGTGTTTTTAGGAGCAAGGCCCTGGTCTGGGACAGAAAATGTGTCTTCATCTCTGGATGAAAAAATTTGCACGCTCTGGATGCACTAATGAGCTACTTAATAAGCAATTATAAGAAGGCAATGCCAGCCTTCTACAGAAGGTGCAGAGGGTGAGATGTTCAGCTCCTAAATGGGCTGCATTCTGAATCTGAATCCCTGAGACCAGCAGAGGTTTTCTGATTGGAAACCTCCCAAATTCTTGATCCACTAATAAATTATAGAGGTATGAACTGGATTTACATTTTGGCATCTGGAGAAGGCTCCGTGTCTTAATGTGAATTTTTTAATTCCTAGAGAGTTTACCAGTAGCACCTGAAAAAGAAGATAAAAACCTTTAGAAAATAAAATTAATGGATACTTTTGTATTTTTATTAGGAAAAGATATGCAAATTGAAAAACAATAAATATTATAATATATGTTAAAATTTTAATTAGAAAGGATTTTAAAAATGAAATATTGTAGGTAATTTTCAGGGAATAGATAAGAAAAAAATGAAAAAAGAAAACAATGCACTTGTAATACAGTGGCTTTTTTGCTCAAGATTATTCCCTGAAAAAGTCCTTTTCTAGAAATATAAATTATGTACTTTACCCTTTTTGCCTTGCATTATTAGAGAGGTTAAACCAGAAAGTTTTATAATGCAGATGCAGTTGGGAGTAAGAAAAACAATAAATGGACAGGCACAATAATTTTCAATGATCTATCTTATGGAAATATTCAACTTTCTACTTTATTTGTCCCTTTGCTAAAATAATTCTGATGACATAAATGAAGGATCCCCTTGCATTGTCCCAGCTGCCATTCAAAAAACATTCAATATGTTGCATTTGTCACTTAAAGTCCATCAACAAGATGTACAAGTAACAGTAGTGAAAATGTTAGCATGCTGGTCAAAGACAAACCTTTTCCCTGGCAAGATTGGTTTTTGGGACTGAAAATTCCTGTCAGTCTTCTCCAGTTAAGTAATTCAGAAAATATGAGCAAGAACTCTCAAGTGAATGAAGTGAGCAGGGTTTAATATAGGTTACTGAGCATCAAACCAAGAAAGGTCTAAATGAATCTCTAAATCAATGACTGAAAGAAAATATGGGTTGTTTTTTTTCATTTTTGGTTTTGTTTTGGTTTTGTTTTTTTTTTTTTTTTTTGCTAACAGAATGCAAATCTAGGATACAGACAGGCATTTTCTGATATATAATTAGAGATATTTTTATATAGATACTGTATTCAGAATGTGTGTATAAACATTAACTGTAGAATTTATGGCATAACATTTTAAATTTTTGTTAAGATTTTGTTTGGAAATACATTGCAAAGACAATGTAAAAGGCTGTCTTTCTATGACATCAGCTGAGAAAAATGAATTGTGTCACAAAGAATGTGATCTTTTTTATACTAACTTTATTTCTTGTGGAAATCAGGCATTATAGAAAGATCCCCTTCCCCATCCCTCACCGGTTCTGCATTGGTATGCACCCAGAGTGGATTGAGAAACATTACTTTGTAGATGTATTTTCAATAAAAATAGTTTTACATTACTGCTCTTATTGTGATTTACATTTCTTTCAAAGCCTCTGTAATACAAGCTTAGCACAAACTCACAGATGAGGAACTCATAGTATGGGATTTCAGGAATTACAGGCCATTGTGTACATTGTGTGGGGATTTGAGCAGGGCTTTGAACAGGCTTCCTCACTACAAATACGTAGTTTCATGATCAAAAATAAAGAGTAAGGGGTGGGAGGCAGAAACATTAAGAATAAAAGGAACCAGTGTTTACCACACCAATGTTCATTCAAATTCAAGTTTATAAATACGTGTTAAAGACTGCAAAATCTAAAAAAACCTAGAAAACAAATAAAAATCCACAAAGCCAACAATAACAACAACAGAAGGTGCAATTAGATAATCCAAACCCCAAATTCAGCTTTGTAACATTACAACCTTCTTAGACAATCCACTGTTATACCCATGAAAGCGATTTATGATGCTGGGTTCATTTGGCAAAATCTTCAGCTAGCAGTTATCATCTAATGGAAGTGAATATCTCATCAGAGGCACTGAAAAGGTATAAAAGATACAAGCTGAGTCACTTGCATCTGGGAAGTTGTGTTGTTTGGAGCTAATGGGGACAGCAGGGAGAAGTCCTGCCTTCCTGAACATACAGCAGCAAAACACCAAACAATGGCCTTTACGAATATGTCTGTGGTGTTTTAAGCATAAACAAATTTTGTGAAAAAAATTGGAGACGAAAAATGTTCAGAGAAGGCATGGTGTTACAGGGCACATGAACAAAACTTTTAACAATTTTATTTCTAGTTACATACATTTTCATTCACCCAGTCCAGGTAGGCATCTTTGCTTCTCTGGAAATACTGTTGTGATGGAAAGAGTATAAAGAAAGAGGGCTAGTGTATCACAAAATCAGTTAGGTTGGAAAATACCTCCAAGATCATTGACTCCAGCCTTTGCCTGATCAATATTTTGTCAACTAGACCATGGTACTGAGTGCCATGTCCATCCTTTTCCCGAACACCTCTAGGGATGATGACTCCAACATCTTCCTGGGCAGCCTGTTCCAATACATGACAACCCCTTCTGTGAAGAAATAAATATTTCTTGATGCCCAACCTGAACCTCCCCTGGCTCAGCTTGAAGCCATTTCCTCTCATCCTGTCAATTGTCACTTGGGAGGAGAGATGGAAGCCTTGTCTGGCTACGCTCACCTCTCAGGGAGTTGCAGAGAGTAATAAGATTCCCCCTGAGCTTCCTCTTCTCTGAACAAACACCCCCAGCTCCCTCAGACACTCTTCTCATGGCTTGCACTCCAGACCCTTCCCCAGCTCCACTGCCCTTCTCTGGACAAGCTCCAGCATCTCGCTTGGAGATGTTAGTGGCACAGTGGCCTTGCTTACTCTTCCGTGCCCTCATGCAGAAGTGAGATCTCTGGTATTCCATAATTTTTCAGCAGTATTTTCATTTAGAAGCTGCAGAACAAAACAGCATTGCCATTCAGGCAAGAATTCATGTCTTTGTAATGGTGTGTGGCCATAAAAAAAAAGTGATTATGCATGTGGAAAATGAACTACTGGCACAGGAGGGTATTTCTTCTGAAGGATTGAATTCGCACAAGTGACATTTGTGTTCCAATGCAGGCACAACAGACCAGAAATTTAAGGCTTTTTTTTTTTTCAGCTAACCCTTGCTTGTTTTAATAAAGTTACAACAGTAATGGTACTGTAGGAAGATACACAAGAGTGTATTTTGCTTCTCATGTGATCAGCAGCGTCCTAGCTGTGATAGCAGTGCATGATCAACTTGGTTCTGGTGTGATCAGCCATTTCTCAGAACAAGACAAAAATTCTGAGGCGAACTGAGAGATCACTACCAGCCTGGATTTCCCTCTTTCTAAAGGGATCGGCTTATCCTGGAAGCATGGATAAGGTGGAAGCAGATTTCTACACGTCCATGCAAAACTGAAAACTCAGACTTGCAGCATCAGTGAGGCGACAAGACTTCTACAGATAACAGAGAGCAGTATTCAGGTGATATAATCCTTCACAATGAGCTCTTTCCTTTTCCCCTTCCCCCACCCAGATCCTCAGATGTCTCTGAGACACACAAACATATCTAAAATTCAAAAATTTTAAGACAGGAGTACCCACATCTCTAACAAAGTTTCTCTTGAACATGCCTCATTACACAACTAGGGCTGCACAAATAATTGATTTTTCACTTCAGTGACTGAACTGAAAAATTGGGGAGAATAATTCTTCCAGGGAATCATTGAAACAATTTTTTGTTGCTTAAAAACATTCCTATCTCACTTTTAGATTGCCTTTACTGTATTTTAAATTGAAACAAACTCAGCTGTATAATGAACTGAACTTGGAAATAAAATGTTGAATTATTTTGTTAGGAAAATGCCAAAATAAAATGTTTCAACTTTTCTATAATATCTCCTCACTTTAAAGCCAGTTGTATTTATAGAAGTTGGCACAGCTTCACAAGTACTTGCCTCAAAAACTGCATTTTTCAGCAGTATATTTTTATATTCATGCTTTTTCTTTGTTCTTTACAACTTCCTTTCTCCAGACATTGCACATTTTTCTCCTTTTCCCAATTACTTAGAGTTTATTCTTCATTGTACTATTAGCTTTTTTTAGAGCTTTGATACTTGATTAAAATGATAAAAATTTAACTCTCTTCTCATATTTGTCCACTATTGTTACTATTACTCTGGCTCCTAAACTTGTGTTCATTTTCCACATAATTTCTTTTTCAAAATCTGAATCAGTTTCCCATTTTCTACAGTACCATATTCCTCTTTCCATCTGTCCCACTTGCCCTCATGGCTTTACTCTTCGTTTTCACAGTTTCTCCATCAAGAGGTCCCCTACAACAGATCTTCACATACCCAGATTCGGGTCTCAGGAGTATTCTTAGTTTTCAGCATGACTCAGCCTTTCTGAGTTTTGGTTTCTGACCAATGAAATATGGAAACAGCATTGTCCTGGCACCAGGATTTCCAGAGGAATTAAGATTGTGGAGAGCCCGTACAACAGGGCTGACACAGACACCTGGGCCATATCTCAGGGGCCATCCAGACCCAGAAGATTTATGTAGTACCCTTATACTTCTATCTCTTGTGCTCTAGTTACTTGGGTGAATGTAAGAATTTAATCTACCATCTCTTCAAAACAGAAATTAGATTAATTGGTTCTTCATAATTATACCTAAAAACAGGCCAAATCATGTAGTGCTCCCTGGCTACTTCCACTGGCTAAAACACCATGAGTAGCAAAGAGAGAAGGATCAAATAACAGTCTGAGTTGGATTTCAAGCCCTACTTTGCAAATACATTCAGAATAATGTTAGTACTGATGGCAGATGGTGACTGTCATTCTTTCTGAGCAGGGGCCACACAAACCTCCCTTCACAGGTCCTCCAGTCCACCTTGCTCATAACCTGCAGTCCCTCTCCTATTCCAGCCCTGCTCCTCTCCCAGGCAGCAGCCCCTGGCCATGCCAAATTGCCCGGTGGTTTTGTGATAGGCACAAATGGGGACTGGGATGAGACCACCCAACTTGCTTTCATTTACAGGCTCAGCCAGGATGTAAGCCCGAGTCTCCAGAAGAAAA